CTGGGGGTGTGGCTCAGTGGTAGAGCCCCTGTCTAGAATCCCCCAGTGAGGGGCTGGGGGCGTGGCTCAGTGGTGGAGTGCTTGGGTACCACACCTCTTGATTTGGGTTCAACCTCTAGTATGGAAAAAAGAAAACAAACACATAAATTGCCGATGTGGTGGTGCATTCCTTTAATCCCAGCACTTAAAGGCAGGGTGAGTGGGTGGGAGGGGATGGGTGGGCAGAGGCAGGTAGCTCTCTGTGAGTTCAAGGCTAGCTTGGTCTGCATAGCAAGTTCCAGGCCAGCCAGAGCTACACAGTGATATCCTGTGTAAAAAACCCTAACCCCAAAAATCAAGAAACAAAAAGAAAACAAACACAAAATTAAGGGGGTAGAGACTTTAGTTTCCCTCAAAGCCCAGGCCTAAGGCCTCCAGGGGCCTCCCTTAGACACTAAAGGGTGGGGCCTCCCAAGGAGTCTTTCTGAGCTCCGATTAGTCCAGCACTCGAAGGGCGGGTTCTTGCTCGGAGAGGGGATTCTAGGGCCAGGGAGGCGGGAGAGGCTTCCCAGGGGCGGGGCCTCCACTGTGGGCGGAGGCAGGGGCGGGGCGTTCCGGGCTCACCTGCGGCGCAGAGGCGGTGCATGCGCAGGTAGCTGATGGTGAGGCGCATGATGGAGGCCTTGTCCAGATGCGCGCTGACCCCGCGCGCGAAGGGCAGCGTGTGTGCCAGCTGGTACAGCACCTCGGTCTCCTGGCTGCGCCGGCTACGCGCCGCATCCCGCGACTTCTCCTTCCGCAGCTCCGTGCTCGACCTGTGGAAAGGAAATTGCGCACGACAGGTCACATGTGGGACGCCTCCGCTTGGGGTCCCGGCAGCTTCTCCCCTTGAAGTCCCTCCCCTTGCCCCAAATTTTTACCTGTCTTGGTCCCAGCCCATGTGGCCCTCCCTGCAGGGCCTTGCTCCAGGCTTCTCCCCCAGGATATGTGCCTAAGGCCTTCTGTCCTCTCCAGGACTTATCTGCAGCTCATTTCCCTACTAGAGACGCCGCCTGGGGGACAGGGAGGCCTCCCGGTGGGAGGGGGTGGTAGAGCTGGCCTGAGTCCAAAGGAGAGATGGAGCGGGAAGAGCCCGCAGCCTCCCAGGCTCCTTTCTCTCCCGGGTGTCCCCTCCCCAGCCAAGCTGAATCTCACAGAGATATCTAAGTCTTAACGACACACCAAAGGGGCCTTCAGAGGGGCCGGGCCCCACTAAGGGTGACACAGCAAACCAACCCCTGCATTCTGCCCAGCACCTCTACCCTTTAATACACTTCAAATGCCTGACTTCCGAGTGTGTGTGTGTGTGTGTGTGTGTGTGTGTGTGTGTGTGAGAGAGAGAGAGAGAGAGAGAGAGAGAGAGAGAGAGAGAGAGAGATCCATCTCGATCTTTCACCAGTAATATTAATATCTATCAATTATCCATTTTCACTATTAGGTCATTTTCCCGGCCAAGTGCCAAACCCACTTAAAACTGGGCATAGTGTCGCATACCTTTAATCCCAGCACTTGGGAGGCAGATCTCTGAATTTGAGGCCAGCCTAGTCTACATACGAGGAAGCCTAAGGTCATCCTTGGCTTGGGCTGCATGAGACCCCATCTCAATAACAAAGAAGCAACCAGCCAGACAAAACCCCAAACTTTATCTGACGCCATAGTCTATTTGACAGGGTCTCCCTGTGTAGCTCAGGCTGTCCTTGAACACCTGATCCTTGTGCCTCTACCACCCAAATGCTGGATTATAGGTTTGTGCCTCCACACTTGACTCATAAGTCTCCTTTTGAGTTTTTTTTTCTTTGTAAAAAAAGGTATATTATATATCTAGTCTTTTTTTTTTCTTTTTTTCTTTTTCTTTTCGAGACAGGGTTTCTCTTGTGTAGCTTTGCGCCTTTCCTGGGACTCACTTGGTAGCCCAGGCTGGCCTCGAACTCACAGAGATCCGCCTGGCTCTGCCTCCCGAGTGCTGGGATTAAAGGTGTGCGCCACCACTGCCTGGCTTATATCTAGTCTTATATTCAGTATTATTGATGCTTACAAGATTTCTAACCCACAGACCAGCCCTATGTGTTTTTGTCACATGTATTGTGCCTGTGAGCACTCATCTGACCCTCAGGGGAGCCCAAGGGAACTTTATTATTATTTATTTTTATGTATTTATTTATTTGGTTTCTCGAGACAGGGTTTCTCTGTGTAACAGCCCTGGCTCTCCTGGAATTTACTCTGTAGACCAGGCTGGCCTCGAACTCACAGAGATCTGCTTGTCTCTGCCTCCCGAGAGCTGGGATTAAAGGTGTGTGCCGCTGCCCCCAAATACTATTTGAGAGAGCGTCTCATGTAGCCCAAGCCAAGGATGACCCTAGGCTTCCGATCTTGCCTCCACCTCTTGAGTGCTTGGATTATAAATCTATAGGCCTGTCCCTATGCCTGGGGTCCACAGGGGAGGGGGCGAATTTTAAACCCACTTAGCAAAGGGGCACCCGAGGCTCTGCAAGGTGGAGTCCTTTGCCCGAGAGATCCCAGAACCAGTCCCTGGCTGAGCCGAGTCAGTGAGGTTCCTCCGCTTTTCTCTAACCAACTCCGAGTGATGCCCACCCCCTGGGATAGGAGGCTGCACTTTCCTAAAAGTCGTTAATTCGGGGAGCAGAGGCCACTTCTGGGGGTGGGAGGGCTTAAAAAAAATGTTTCAGTCTGGGTGCGGGGTGGGGGTGGGGGTAGCTGCAAGGCTGTGTGAGGCCCTGAAGGGGGCAGGCTGGCCCAGTATTGGAGGAGCCAAGGGGGCGCCCCCATGAACTCCCTCTTGGCTGGTGGGGGCAGGGGCCTCAGTCCCGCCTGCCCAGAGGACATTCCGTCCTGTACTGTACTGTTCCAGCCCTGTTTGTCTTCCTGCCCAGAGGGTGGGGGTGGGCGGGCCTCACCGAGCTGGGGGCCCTGGGGCAGAGGGAACTAACTGGGAGAGAGAAGGGGAGTGGGGTGGGGGTGGGGCCGGCGCCCCACCTCCCAGGCAGCTGAGCTCTGTAATCCTACCCTCCATGGCTAGGGTGGCAGGGTTTCTTCCTCCGTAGAGGGAGCCAGCTGGTGGCTGTAGAGGGACCCTCCTTCCCTCTCAGTCTGTTCTCCGGATGCTCTGACGGGAAGTAGGGGCCTCTCGCTGGCTTTCTGGCCTAGCTGTGAGACAGAGTGGGGGCTGCCTCTTCTGGGTCAGGGTTCCAGTTCTGACACCGCTATCGCCCTTGCTCATTTGCTGTGTGACTTTGGGCAGGTTGCTTAACCTTCCTGGGCACAGTATAATAACCTCCACCTCCTTAAAGGGTGGGTTTTTGTTTTTTTTGGGGGTTTGGGGGCATGTGAGGTGGGGCTGGGAGACAAAGTCTCATTGTGTAGCTCAGACAGGTCTGAAACTTATGATCCTCCTGCCTCAGCCTCTTCTCTGAGTGCTACGGTCATAGGACTGCATCCCCCCGACGGATTCCTACGGTGGCTGGAAGATTAGATGAGTTAATCTATGTCAGAGGCTTAGCAAGCGAGGCTTGGCTATTGGCTAGTGTTAGTCATGAAAGGCTCAAGTTTGTGAGTCTCCTGTACCCTGGAGTAACCTAAGGGCCTCTGAACGTGCAAGAACGCGTGTGCAGTTAGCCATGCATGCAAGTATGTGTGCGTGCGTGCATTATTATGAGTGTGCAGGTACACACCCAGCGGTTACACGAACGCTTCAAAGGAATAAACAAACAGTGATGGTGTGTTGCACCCTCAGAGACTCGAGACCCCAACCCAGCCTCACGACTATCACATGGGCAGGAGCGACGACCTCCCTTTCAGAAATGTAGAAGCTGGGCCAAGCCTGACCAATTCGGTCCCCTGAACCCACCTGGTGGAAGGAGAGAACTGACTCCTGCCGGGTGTCCCCTGACCTCCACCCACTCTCGAGGGCAAGCGCGCAACCCCCTCCCCCATACACACAGGGACAGAAATGAATAAATGTCATTTTTTTTTCAAAGTTAGAAACAGGGCCCGAGATGCATGTGGCTCAGTTGGTGGAGCATGTGCCCCACAGTACGGCACACCCAGGGTGTTGGTGGCTCGGGCTTGCAACGTTAGCACTAAGTGGGTGGGAACAGGAGGGCCGGGAGTTCATGGGCATCCTCGGATGTAGTGAGTTCAAGGTCAGCCTGTCTCAGATGGAGACTGAGGTTCAGAGCAGAGGCACCCTCGTCCTGTGTCACTCTGGTGGTAGTCCCCAGACTCTCATTCCCATTCCTGTCCGCCTTGCTCAGCTGCTTCTCAGTTAAGCCCCATACCCACCCTGCACCCATTATTACCTTCCTGCTTTGGGAAGCCACCTCAGAGAGGTGATAGAAATTGCCGGAGGCCACACAGTAATCCCTAGGGGAATCCGGGTTTGTTGACTTTCCGGGGCCTCACTGGGTGTGTGTGTGGGGAGGGGTACGTGTTCTCTCCCTGGGAAAGATTTGACCCCCATTATCCAAGACTTGAAGCTTTTGCGAGCTCAGGAAAGGAAATCTCTGGGCCAAGATCACACAGCGAGGAAGTGGGAGCTTGGGGATTTGAACCCTGACTTTGAGACCTGCGGTCTAAAATGCTGTTCTTCAGGAGGGTGTGCCCACCAGCCAAGGGACCCCTGCCTGCTCCCTTCTGCCTGGTGGGCTAAGTCTTTTCCTCCTGTCCCAGCACTGCTACAGATCTCCCTAGCTGGCCCAGCTCTGGTCCAACCCCTTGGCAGCCTGCCCAGCCTGGGACGTGCGCCTGGAACTTTGCCACCCTTACTCTGTGTTCTAGCTGAGAACAGAGGGTGTGGCCAAGAGGCCCAGGGTGAGGCCTGGGAAGGGGGACTTGGGGCCCGGTGGCCCCTTAGCTAAGAGAGAAAAGACCCCATCTCTTTCCCCACCCTGAAAGGCTTAGGAAATTAAGAGAGCCTCTTTCTCACATTCTGGGCTTCTCTTCTGACTCTCAGCTGGGTGTTGGGGGCGCGGGGCGGGAGGGGGGGGGACGGCGCTCACAAAAACTGTAGCATATCTGAGGTGTGGTGGAGGCTTAGCTTTGTATCTGGGCAGAGACCCCTTTTGATGTTGCTTGGAGGTGACCTGAGAGGCCAGGGGGCAAGGTTTGGGTCGGAGAAAGGACTTGGGGTGGGGGTCAGTGGGAAGCCTCTCTGACCTTGATCTAATTTGTTCTCATCAGTACGGTCATTTGGCTATTCGGTGGGGTGCCAGTCACTAGTCCAGTTTTTATGGGGGAGCCCTGCTTCCGAGTGGGTACTCAGGGCAATGTGCCCTTTATGGATTTCCCAAGAACACCCCCACAAAAGGTGAGATGGCTGAAAGCCGAAAGCCAGAAGAAAGAGGGGGGCTCATAGCCCAGAGGGAACCACTCACCATTACCCAAGCCCCCTCTGATGCCAAGTGCCATCCGGGGGACGCAGGAGGGGACCGGAGCGCAGCCGGGAGGTGGGTGCGAGTTACTAGTAGTGTGCGGCTGCGTGGAATGACACTACAGGAAAGGGCTGGCTTTGGGTGCGGAGGGGGGCACCCTAGTTCTGTTAAGAGGGGCCCCTCGCACAGCCATAAGGGGGCGCTGTCACGAGCGGCGCCAGGGCTGGCCTGGAAGGGGTGGGGACAGAGTTCCCTGGTGGGCTCCGAGCCAGAGATGGGAATAGAACCGGAGAAGGGGAGCCGGGGTGGGTTGAGGTGCAGGCGAAAGTGTAGAGAAAAACCAATCAGCCCTAGGAAGCCGGAGAGGAGGGGCTGTGGCGAGACTTGAGGGATGCCTCAGTTTAGACAGGGAATGCCAAGGGTCTAGGATGGTTTTCTGGTGTCTCCTGTGGCAACCTGGCTATGGTCCCAAAGCCTCGGCACCTGTTGTAAGGTGAACATGAAATCCACCTCTTTCCAGGATGCCGGGCCACAGGAGGTGCTGCTTTCCTCGCTTGATCTGCCAGGGCATCTTTCCCAAGGATGTCCCTCAAATAGGGTTTGGGTGGGGCCCTCCTCCCTCAGTTGCGGACTGGGTGCGGGCAGATGAATGAGAGACACAGAACCAGGCTTTGGGAAGTGGGTCACGCTTGTTCCGTTGGTATTGAAAAGGGGGTGACCCTGCTTTTGGTTTTTTCTTTTTTAATGGCCGTTCTGTGTAGACCAAAGCTGGTCTGGAACTCGCCATGTAGGCCAGGCTGGCTTTGAAATCATCCTTCTTGTGTAGCTTCCCAAGTGCTGGGTTTACAGGCGTGAACTCCCCTCCCCAGCCATCATCCCATTTATTTGAAAGGATAAAGGACCTCGGTTGGGTTCCACACAGACTCTAAGGAGCCATTCTTTCCGGTCATTTCTAGGGCAACTTGAAGCTTGGGAGATTGTTAGGATGGACAGAATAAAGATAATCTCTCTTCAGGAAGTCAGAAGTGGAGTCTTCCAGGGACTCCCTATGTCTGGGAAACCTCAGTTTGGGGGATCCCTTTTTAAGATCACAAGAGTCTGACAGCCAAGAAAGACTCAATTCTGGGGCTTCGAGTAAAGCCTCTCTGGGAAGTGAGCCCACTGATCAAACTCAACCATCTCCAATCCATAGGAACTTGGAGTTTCACTCCCAGCCAGGAGGATCGAACCCCGTGTATCAGAAAATCGCGGCTCACAACCCCAAAGCTGTTCCTGGGATGGGGGGAACAGCTAGAGCTCATGGGGTAAATCCCAGATCCCCTGCAACCCTCTAGGGTGGAAGGTGCGCCGGGGATGTGTCCCCCCGTCGCGCGCCCCAGGGTGTTCACAACTTGAGCCACACCCCACAGATGAGGGGTTCCCCCACACCCCCGTCAGGGAGAGCCCCCAGTCCCCATCATTCCTATCCCCGAAGCCCTGTACCTCATGCGCTGCAGCCCCAACGCCATGGCTCGCCCTTCGCAGTTCCTGAGCCCTCGATGCCCCGCGCCCCCTCCCCGAGCCGTGTGAGCCCCCTCCCCAGCTCCGCCCCTGCCACGCCATTGGCTACTTCTTGCCCAGCCCGCGGCTCTGATTGGAAGGTGGGCTTGTTACTCCCAAGGAGGAGGAGGGACTAAAGGAGAAGTCTTGGAACTCCAAGGGGGTGGGGGAATCCTGTGCAATGCACACTACCCCCCCCAGCCACGCCCCTGCCGCAGACTTCCTCGGCCGTCCGGAGCCCGCCGGGCGTGATTTCCCTCCAGTCTCTGAACTCCCATCCCGTGCACTTCTGAACCATCCGGATTCACTCTGCCCTCTGCGTCCCACCGCTGTCTCTCCCTCTATTACCACCCACAGTCGGGCCCCTCCACTCCCACTCTTTTCAACGCCCCCCCCATCCTTTTCCCCCGTCCTTTTCTTAACGTACCAAGCCCCCACCTCTCCTCTCCACCTTTAACTCATCTTCCCACCCCCACCCCCCTTGTTCCATAGCCCCATGCTTTGCCATATCACTTGTCACTCCATTGTGTGGCCCAACTCTGGACCCCCCGCCCCCGCCTCCCCGCCCCGCCCCGGTCTTTCCTTGTCCACCCTTTTCCACCCCACCCTGACCCTGTGGCCTCTCTTAACTCCCTGTTCAGGTTCCCGCGGATGAATAATTAAGCTTCTGTCAAGTAAATATGCTTTGGCTCCATCACACCCACTTGTAAAGGGAACAGAGAAACGATTAGAGAGACGTGCGCAGTGACCACGGACAGGTGGAAGGCGGGACAGCGGGGTAAGGAAGGACGTTCCTGTGTGGGCTGGAGAGGGGGTGGGGCACTGATGGACGCGGGTGCAGTGGCAGTGTTCCTTCCGCGGGCAGGCTTGGGCACACTCTACACTGCGGTAGAAATGGCTTTACCGTTTCTGAGTTATTGGGCAAGCTCCGTCTCAGGATCTTTGCACACGCTCACTTGAGAGTGCTTTTCCTCGCAGTTAGAGGGTTGATTTAGTAGTTAAAACCACTTGCTACCAAGCCTGGTGACGAGCGAGCGTTCAATCCCCAGGACCCACATTGTGGAAGGAGAAGAAAACCAACTCCAGAAAGTTGTCCTTTGACACACACACACACACACACACACACACACACACACACTGTAATAGAAAAATTAAAAACAATTGTTTTCCTCTAGAAATCTACATGGCTCCGCACCTCAACCCAGGGACCCACTCAGCTCCCTCCTCCTCTTCTCCATCTTCCTCCTCCTTCTTCTCCTCTACATTTTAGAGATAGGGTATCCTAGGCTGGCCTTGAACTTCTGATCCCCCTGTCTTCACCTTCCAAGTGCTGGGATTACAGGTGTGCACCACCATGCCCAACTTGTATGCGATTAAGTTTCAGTCGATTTTACTTGAATAAGGCTGACTTATCCCTGGCCTCAGCAAAATCCAGACTGAGCTGGAGCCACAGTGATTATATTGGTTTAGGGAAGACATGTGTTCTAACCTAGTACAGTGAGGACGAACTTTGAGGACTTTGCTGCAGTTGTTAGGAGAGAGAGTTTCTTTTCTTTTTTCGTTGTTTTATTGCATTTAGGGCACAGAGGATTTAATTTAGGGCCCAACTCAAGCAGAGCCATGTCCCTACACCCTCAGAGGGGGATTCTTGGCAGATACTCTAACACTGAGCCATGTCCCCAGCCCCTCACTGGGGGATTCTAGGCAGGGGCTCTACCACTGAGCCACACCCCCAGCCCCTCACTGGGGGATTCTAGGCAGGGGCTC